TTTTACTTAAATTCAACCTCAATTTCAAACAATTCAACTTCAATTTCAAGCAATTTAACTGTAATAAAAAGCAATTTTATTACATTTATTTTACCTTAATTTCAACAACTTTTAATACATCGTACATAAATTTTAATCAATTTAAATCAATGTAGGACTTGGTTTCTTAACGATTTGGATGAAGTTTAGAGAACATTTTAACACAATCTATTAACAATTTATGTAAATTTTTGTCTATTTTAATCAATCATTCGATAGTTTTACTTTAATTTTACTTGATTTTTAAATCAATCTTAGGTTTAACGTTTCGTTTATACGGACAATGTATGGCAATAATTCCACATTTTAACTATACCCTCAATAAATCCCTCGGTCGGATTGAGTAGGGTTAGGCTAGAGATAACATTTCAAGATTGCAATTTTTAACAATTATTTACAATTTTAATCACGATATAACAATTTAACTTAAATTTTACTTGAATTTTAAGCAATTTAACTTCAATTTATTCAGCCTTCGATTGGATTGGGTTAGTTTAGGACATTCGTGTTAATTTATGACAATTTTTGTCAACGTCACTGCAGTTTTACTGCAATTTTATTGTAATTGTTATCAATTTTTATCAATTTTACTTTATTTAGTCAATCCTTTGATCTCAACCTTATTCACCAGACAGCAGGTTGTCTACATTTCCTCGGTTGGGTTGGGTCGTTAGTTTAGAAGACATAAGATTTTAATAAATGTTTCACAATTTAACTTGAAATTTTTGTCAATTTTAATAAATTTGTCAAAAATTTTACTTTATTTTAGCGTTAAACTACCGTTTTTTAATTTGTACTATTTAAGTTTTATTTCTTCTAACTATTCTAACTATCAATTTTCAGATTTTACCATTTCAGCACTGTTTCTCGAAATTATTCTAACTAGCGATTTACAGATTTGACCATTTCAGCACTCTTTCTAAAAATTATTCTAACTATCGTTTTTAAGATTTGACCATTTCAGCACTGTTTCTAAAAAGCATTGTAACTATCAATTTCAAAATTTGATCATTTTAGTACTCTTTCTTCAAACTTCTATCGTTTTTAAGATTTTATCATTTCAGCACTCTCAAAATTATTCTAACTATCGGTTTTAAAATTTTCCCATTTTAGTCCTCTTTCTTGAAATTATTCCAACTATCGATTTAAAGATTTTTCTATTTCAGCACTGTTCTGAAAATTATTAACTATCGTCTTTAAGATTTGATAGTTTCAGCAGTTTCTGAAAATTATTATAACTATCGTCTTTTAGATTTTATCATTTCAGCACTCTTTCTCAAAATTATTGTAACTATCGGTTTTCAGATTTTCCCATTTCAGTCCCTTTTGTTGAAATTATTCCGTCGATTTTTAGATTTTTCCATTTCAGTCCTCTTTCTTGAAATTATTCAAATTATTGATTTTTAGATTTTCCTATTTTGTCATTGTTTTTTCAAACTATTCTAATTATCGAATTTTAGATTTTACTATTCAGTACTCTTTCTCGAAATCATTCTATTAATTATAAGATTTTACCATTTCGGCATTATTTCTTCAAACTATTCTATCGTTTTTTAGATTTTATTATTTCAGCACTGTTTCCTAAAACTATTCAAACTATCGATTTTCAGATTTAACCATTTTAGTACTTTTTCTGTCTTACAATTATTGGAACTATCGAACTTGAGATTTGACCATTCGATCAGTTTCTCACAATTAATGTAACTAGCTATTTACAGATTTGACTATTTCGGCACTGTTTCTCTAAACTTGTATCGATTTTCAGATTTTACTATTTCAGCACTCTTTCTCAAAATTATTCTATCGATTTGAAGATTTCACCATTTCAGCAATCTTTTTCAAAATTATTCTATCAATTTCAATATTTCCCCATTTCAGTACTCTTTCCAAAAATTATTCTAACTATCGATTTCAAGATTTTTCCATTTCAGTACTCTTTCTCAAAATTATTCTATCTATCGTTTTTCAGATTTTCCCATTTCATTACTCTTTTTCAAAATTATTCTAACTATCAATTTCAAGATTTTACTATTTCAGCACTTTCTCAAAATGATTCTAACTATCGTTTTCAAGATTTTACTATTTCAGCACTTGCTCAAAATTATTCCAACTATCGTTTTCAAGATTTTCCCATTTCAGCATTTCCTCAAAATTATTCTATTGTTTTTAAGATTGTACCATTTCAGCACTTTCTTGAAATTATTTTATCAACCTTCAGATTTGACCATTTCAGTACTCTGCTGAAATTATTCTATTGATTTTTAGATTTTCCTAATTCATCAGTTTGTTAAAACTATTATAACTATCAAATTTTAGATTTTACCATTTCGGCACTCTTTTTCAAAATTATTCTAAGTATCGTTTTTAAGATTTTATTATTTCAATACTTTTTTCAATAAGTATTGTAATCGATTTTCAGTTTTGACCATTTCAGTACTCTTTGTTGAAATTATTCTAACTATCGTCTTTTAGATTTTATCATTTTAGCACTCTTTCTCAAAATTATTGTAACTATCGGTTTTAAGATTTTCCCATTTCAGTCCTCTTTCTTGAAATTATTCTATCGTCTTTTACATTTGACCATTTCAGCACTCTTTCTAAAAATTATTCTAATTATTGTTTTTAAGATTTCACCATTTCAGTCCTCTTTCTTTAAATTATTCTAACCATCGGTTTTCAGATTTTTCCATTTCAGTCCTCTTGAAATTATTGTACGGTTTTTAGATTTTCCTATTTCATTCTTTCTTGAAATTATTCTATCGATTTAAAGATTTTACCATTTCAGTACTCTTTCTGTCTTTAAATTATTGTAACTATCGAACTTGAGATTTGACCATTTCAGCACTGCTTCTCAAAATTAGTCTAGCTATTTATAGATTTGACCATTTCAGCACTGTTTCTCCAAAGTATTGTAACTATCGATTTTCAGATTTTACCATTTCAGCACCCTTTGGAAACTTGTATCGTTTTTAAGATTTTACCATTTCAGCACTCTTTTTTGAAATTATTCCAACTATCGATCTTCAGATTTGACCATTTCAGTACTGTTTCTTAAAATTATTCTAACTATCGATTTGAAGATTTTCCTATTTTATCACTATTTCTTAAAACTATTCTATCAAATTATAGATTTTACCATTTCGGCACTCTTAGTTGAAATTATTTTAACTATCGATTTTAAGATTTTTCTATTTCGGCAGTTTCTTAAAACTATTCTAACTGTCGTTTTTAAGATTTTATCATTTTGGCACTGTTTCTCCAAACTATTCTAACTATTGAATTTAAAATTTGACCATTTCAGTACTTTTTCTCAAAATTTTTCTATCGTCTTTAAGATTCGATCATTTCAGCACTGTTTCATCCAAATATTCCAACTATCGTTTTTAACATTTTATTATTTCAGTATTGTTTCTCCAAACTATTTAAACCATCGATTTCAATTTTTTCCCATTTCAGTCCTCTTTCTTTAAATTATTCAATCGTTTTTAAGATGTTACCATTTCAGCACTGTTTCTTCAAACTATGCTAACTCTCGATTTCAAGATTTTACCATTTCAGCACTTTTTCTTCAAACTATTCAAACTATCGATTTGAAGATTTCACCATTTCAGCAATTTTTCTCAAAATTATATCAATTTCAAGATTTTACTATTTTAGCACTGTTTTTTCAAATCTTCAAACTATCTCAATATTTCCCCATTTCAGTACTTTTTCCAAAAATTATTCTAACTATCGATTTCAAGATTTTACCATTTCAGTACTCTTTCTCAAAATTATTCTAACTATCAATTTCAAGATTTTACCATTTCAGTACACTGAAAAAAAAGATTGGCTGCCCCATATAGGGTTTTACTAATGGTCCTATTCTGGCCCAAAACTGGTCGCCAAGTCACCAATATTGGCGTGATAATGGCAGCCATGACTGGCCCAGCAATGGGACTTCTCTGGAATGATAACTTCGGTCCAGCAATGGGTAACAATCATGGGCCAAACGTGGTAACCAATCATAGGCCATTAATGGTTAATCTGTCCTGCCAATATTTAACCATTAATGGTTAATCTGTCCTGCCAATATTTAACCATTAATGGTTAATCTGTCTTGCCAATATATGACCATTAATGGCTAATCTATTATGCCAATAATAGCGCTTTTATGATGCCCGGCTTAGCTAAATTATTTTTTTATTGCTTTATTGCATAAATATATTTTTACAAATATACATTTATCAAAATATATTTCACTGAAAAATTTTTCCATTTTTATGAACAATACTTATATATAGATAAATTTTATGTGTTAATGTATTTTTAACAAAAATTCAAAAGTATCTAGCAAAATATACTGTCATAAATGTATATTTGTAATAATATATTTACGCAACAAAGCATAAAAATACAATTTGATTAAGCCTGGCATTGTAAGAAAGCCATGTTGGCATCTTACCATGCAGTAGAGTTACTACTCAGAAAAGAAAATAAACATTTAAAGTTATTTTAAGTTTAAAAATTCTTTTTATTATGTTTTAAAAACTCTCTAAATGTCAACACATATATACTGTTATTCAACTTATGTAACTTCTTTAAACTATTTTTCTTAGTTAACTTTTACATTACATATACATATATGTATATCTATATATATGGTATTTCTCGTTCAACGCTTTTTAAGTAGGACTGAAGTTGTTATACATTATCTACATTTTTTTCTCGTTGTTTTCGGCCGCCTTCTCTGTCGCCAGCTCGGGACAACCACATGCCCACCTGGCCCGGTAATTTTTTTACATCCAGGGTATTTCCATATTTTTCGATTAAAGTATCTGCGAAAAATATTATATAATTAATATTCTAGTCACAAATTATATAAGACATAAGGGTTAATATTAAAAGATATTTATTTTATTTCTTAAACAGAGATATGTGTTTGTCGCACTGAAATTTTTTTTTCCGTGACCTTTAATTACTTTTCCAGTTCCCGAATATTGCAATTCGACCGCTTTGACCATCACTGATTCTAAAGTTTTAGCAATACTGTCTTTTACGACTGTATCACCAGCAATTAAAATTCGGAACAATGCTGCACCAAAAAAAAAGTATTCTATTAACAGAGTGAAATTTCCTGTAATCCCATATTCTAAGCGGAAACTTTTACAGAAAGAGTATTCCTCTGTCAATAAGTGGACTATTCATCAAGAATCTATTACATATTATTCTAACGGGTTTCCTCTTGTATTAAGAGGAATATATGTTTACTTGGAGCTTGGGCTGTACGACGGGACGGGCGGCAGCGCGGGCTCGCGCGGCGAGAGTTTGGCTCGTGCCCGCTACGCGGCGCATCGCCAGTATCCTTACTCGTAATTAAGATTCAACATCGACTCTTATAACTAGGGCAGCTCGGGAGGGTTTCTCCACTTTCTCCAGCGTTCGCCAGTTAGAGCGTGCTCACTAGCAGTGCTTCTGACATAACACTTTTTGTTTACGAGGTGTTCTCCTTATTTGGGGCCTTCGTTTAAACAAATGTATTATAGAAAGAGCAAAATTCAAAAATTTGTTTGGTTTGTTAACAATAAAATATTGATATTAAGAATAACAAGATCGCGTACTATAGACTATAGATGCAAGATGAAATTCCTCTAATTGTAAAAAATGCTTGTGCTTAGAATATTTTCCTCTTGATTTTAGAGGATTCCTCTTGAGGCCATAAACAAGAATAAAATCCGCTAAGATTTAGAGGATTCCGCTAAAACTAAAATTATTTTTTTTGGGTGGTCGAATATATCCCTAAAATACAAAAATAATTATATACAAAGTACTTTATATTAGGATAAAACTAGAAGTTAAACAGAGCTGAAAAATGTATAATACCTGAATTGTTCTTCGTTTTTGGCTGGTTTACTAATGCCGAATTTACTGATGCCGAAGAAGGCTTACTCCAGTGTTTTAAGGGTTTTACAGCATTCAATCTTTCTTCGAGGACATCTGTGGACATTTTAATAAGTTGGCCTTCATCACATCCGTCTTCATCAGTGCATTTAATTTCATCGGACTTAAAGGCTCGCTTGAGTCGCCTTTTCCCTTGTTTCAAGTCTTCTAATTATTTAAAAAGAAAAAATTACAGGCATATTAATTTGCAAACACCGAAAAAATCATATTCTTGATTTTAGAACAAAACCCTCTAAAGCTTTCCTCTAATCAAATATTCTAAAAAATTTAGAATATTCCCCTCTAAAAGTCTCCTGTTAAGAATAGTTTCTGAAACAAAGAAAATATTCTAAAATGCTACTTCGGTGATCGGTTAACAAATGACACTCGCGCTTGTTTTAAGTCTTCTAATTATTTAAAAAGAAAAAATTACAGGCACATTAATTTGCAAAAGAAAATATTAATAAATATTATAACATACTTGCGTATGCAATGACTTCTATTGTAAAAGATTCCCAATGTTGCTCGGGCTCTTTCAATGATAATAACCAGCTGTCCATGTGCTCGTAATCGCATGAACCTGGGTATAGGCAGGTATATCCGTTCTGTTCATCTCCGTGCACCCATGAGAGTGGGACCAAATCAAGAAGTTTACTAGAATTTGAGTTATCGTCTATAAAACGTACAATTACGTAACGTTCCTTGTTGTTATCGCACATCTAATAAAAAATATAATTATTTAGCTATGCACGTATATAACCTCACGTCCATATAACCTCAATTGTTGTTTCTTTACCTTGTTTTCAGTCCAATAATTTTCGTTTTGCGTGTTTGTTTCGTTTTCACACAATATTCGAGTTCTTAGAATTTTCCGCCTTTGACTGTTGGAACACTTGAAACTCCTGCCCTTTCATACGGTTATAGGATCGTAACTCGTGAGCCGGTCGGTCGCCGCAGGTCGCTGATTGCTGCCATAGGCCGGTTGCGCATGCGCGTGCATGCTTACATACACACATATACATTATACATATATACTCGACACCAGCACGCATTCCTAGTTGTTTGTTATGGCATAATATCTCTTTAAGAGACTTTTATATTTATGTGTACATGTAAGTAGGTAAGCTATGGGAGTTCTACCCCAGGGGCTCCGAGGGGGGGTGAGGAGCGGGGGGGTACCCGCCCGCGGGGGGTACCGCGGGGAGAGGGGGGGTACCGCGTTTTCGGGCGCCGCGGGGAGAGGGGGGTACCGCGTTTTCCGGCGCCGCGGGGGCGGGCGGACCGCATTTTCCGGCGGTTTACCGCGTTTTCCAGCGCCGCGAAAGACCGCGTTTCGGGCGCCGCGGGGAAGGGGTCGGTCCGCGTCACACGGCGCGCTCCCGCTCGCGTCATCTCCCCCTTCCTCTCGCGCCCGCGGCCCTGTTCGCGCGCGGTCCCTTCCTTTCGCGCCCGCAGCCCTGTTCGCGCACGGTGTCTCTCTCTGTTCATCTCTTCTTACCTATCCTCTCTCACTTGCATCATCATATCTCACTTGCTATTTCCATCATTCGCCTATCTATTCGCGTATTATTTGTCCGAAAAATGCAAGATTTGCAGTTTTGCACGTGTGCGATGAAGTCACCGCGAGACACGTATGTTCTTGAAAATGATATTGCGCCATTGACTTTCGGTGATTTGATCTGTAATACTGCTATTGAACAGCTATTAAACAGCTAAAAACAGCTATCAGTATAACTGCGATCTGTATAACCGCTATTGAACCGCTATCAAACTTTTTTTAAACAGCTAAAAAACAGCCATCAAACAGCTATTGAACAGCTATCAAACAGCTAAAAACAGCTAAAAACAGCTATCGAACAGCTATCAAACAGCTATCAAACAACTAAAACAGCTATTGAACTGCTATGAAACAGCTATCAAACAGCTCTTGAACAGCTATTAAACAACTAAAACAGCTATTGAACCGCTATGAAACAGCTAAAAAACAGCTATCAAACAGCTCTTGAACAGCTATCAAACAACTAAAACAGCTATTAGTATAACTGCGATCTGTATAACCGCTATTAAACCGCTATCAAACTTCTTTTAAACAACTAAAAACAGCTAAAAACAGCCATCGAACAAATAAAAACAACTAAAAAACAGCTAAAAACAGGTAAAACATTTATATTATACTACAAAGTATGTGGGAAAAGGAAATAAAACGTTTATATATACATATATAGTTTATTAAAAAAAAAATCATAATTTTTTCTGGTGTCGCGACCACCAGTTAAATATTTTTAATACATTTTGTAATGCGCAATTCTTAACATGTTTTTCGCATCTTATAGTATTAGTAACATCTAGATTATTTAAAGATTCGATATCTTCGTAATCTGCATCCAAAGTCTCAATTTTTAGATGTTTTCTCGCTTTATTCTCAAGCAGATCCACCAGCCATTCTCGTTTCTGGCATCCCTTGACGTACACAAGAGTCGACGTCTCGTCGCCCTCTCCAAGTACGGCCGATGTAATTAGATGTTTCGCCATGCTGTAGGGCACGTTTCCGTCCTCCCATCGTAGTCCATGGTGATTCGCAATTAACCAGGAAGCGCATGATCTGTCGGATTTCGTGAGGAGACTCCATGGCATGGGACATGTAAAAATGTAATGCGCCAAAACGGTCCCGTTTCTCAGAACCGCCACCTCCTTTACGACAAATTTCATCCCGACAGTGAATCCTTGCAGATCGACAAACGTCGGTACGATCATGACGAAGCGACGGAGCAATCTGTATCTTATCGCGGTACATCAGTGTCTCTTATATTGTAATATCTGCTTATATTGCAATATCTGCTGATATTGCAATTTACATGAGTTTGCGCACTACATTAGACAGCGGGCAGTATTCGATTACGCGATCATGCAAGATGAGACAATAAGCGGTAGTATTTGCAGGTACATTTTCTTTACAATCAAATTCTATTCGCACATCCACGGTGGCGCTCTTGACAGATTCGTTTTGTCGCGAGCAATCGATGACAACAAAAGGTCCTTCCATCAGGAATGTATACAAGCTGCAAAGCGTATCGAAAGAATCGTATCCGTAATAAGTTTTACGAAAACGCGCATACATATCGAAAAGAACGGCGTATCGATTTTTACCAAAATCCAGATTCATGTCATCGTACGGATAAAATTCGGAGTTTAGATAAAGTTTCACGTTGGTCAAATTACAGTCATCGAATACGCTAACATTTTGAGACATGATATTCTTGCGGCCGGTCTGCAGCGCAAAGATAACGTACCGCGGCTTCTCCAGCTGAGTCGCCGTTTTGACGGCCCACGAATGCTTGGTCGTGCTCTGCAACATGGGATACTCATACAGATCCCACGAACGGAAACTGACACTCAGATATCGCCCGCTTTCCAAGGCCCGTAACATAGATAGCTTATTGACCTCGTTTAACGTAACGTGAGGCATTCGCCACTGTATTTTAAATAATTCGATTTCCGGCTCCGTCGCAGGATTTCCTACAATGCAATTGTTATCGTTACGCGCTCGTATCAAAATTAATTCGTGACGAGCGTTAACAACCACGCGTTTGTAATCTTCGCAAAAGCCCAGCAACAACTTGAGCGGTACGCAAAAGTTGAAGTATCCTTCCGGTATGCTCGATGTAACGTCCCAGCCAGCATTCCGCATGAGTTGAGAATCATTATACGATAGCGATACGTAGTTCTTGATGGTACTGGTTATGCCAACGTTTCTGTTGCGATCAATCTCCACACCGTTGAGCTCGTATCGAATTTCATCAAACATAAACGCCACGCAATTATTCGCAAGCGTTGTCACAGACTCGTCATTTTTTCTCTTTATTACCAATCGTCCTTCAACGTAGAGAAAGCTCTCGCACGGCAACGTGTATAAATCCTGCTGTTGTATGGGTATTCTTATCTCATCGTTATGTCCAAACGTTGTGTTGGCGTACGGATTGTACGTGTGTCTCAATCTTGACGACGCTATCGTCAAAGATCGGTTCACCTCCAATGTTTAAGATATTAGCCATTTCGTACGACGAAACCCAATGATTTCAAAAATTCAATGTTCGACGCAGTGAGTTTCTTCTTTGGCGATCGGATTGTCTTTTTGTTTCTCGTCTGTTGCACCTGCTCAGCTTCGTTCAATACGAGCATCTCACGTTATCGCTGTCGTCTTCGTACATGCAGTCTAACGGTGATTTCTTCTCCGCGAAAATCAATCAATCGACCGGCCTGATCCACGACGCGAAGCGTCAAGTCCGAAATGCTCTGTACGATGATCGGAAGGTAAATGATCTGTGCAGGCGTTTCCGATATCTTATATCCTGGTGGCACGCTCGGTGAAAACTCGTGTATCGTGTGCACGTACTTGTCGTTGCTGTACGCACCCGCGGTCACGTTACACTCTATGCGAAGGATGTTTACGTTGATGATATTTAGCGGAACATCCGATTCGTGCCATTGTCGCGGCTCCAGCACGCGATTCGCTGAAAATCCCAGCAGCGATCCAATGTTGTTCGGTTTTGTAAAATTTATCCGATAAGCGCACTTGATCTCGCTCTTCATCGTATTGTTATTAGCCCGAATAATAATCAATGGGTGCGGTTCATCTTCGTTTGTCGAGACATTATTAGATTGGTCCCATAAAAGAGCGCGTTTCAGATACATGTCTATATCACGCAGTTCGTACGATCCTTCGGGAATGGTAATCTCCTTGTCGTCGTCGTCATAGTAGAATTTATTGTTCGACGAATTTACATTCGGTATCGTGTAATAGGTTTCAAAATCTGTTAGACCGAGCTCGTAATCGCCATCGCTCAAATCCACGGCGGGAAAGTAGCTTACCGCGAGGATGCTGCTCTTGTCGGTGAGCGTAAATGTCAGTGACATGTTTGAATGAATACTGAGATTAAACAGCGTAACGCCGGTCTTTAAATTGATTGTCAACCGACTGTAGAAAACGCAGACACAGTTGTCCGCAATTGCTCTGATCGTATCGCTGATAAGGTGTGCGATTGTACTCTATTACATTGTTCTCTAGATACTGCGTCAATTCTCTCGGTGGTCGAAGATTGCCAAAACTGTCGAAATATATGGCACGATCTCCCCTCTTCGCGTACGCCACCCAGTGAGTACCCGGTCCCTCAGTATTATCCAAATTCACGATACCGCTCTCGTTTCGACGTATACCGCCGATCGGTAACGAGTCGCGCATGAAAATACCTC